AGGAAACTCTGAGCTCCTTCAAGTTCAAGCTTTCCATAGCCTTTCCAGTTGCTGTACAGGGAAAAAAAGCTGTATTAATTCCCAGCACGCTGGAAGATGAGGCAAGTGGAATACAGAAGTTTGCACGCTAGCACTTTTGTTTGGAAATGCGGTGAGATACTCACTCCATTGTGGCACAGAGCAAAGGATCAGACCCTTTTCCATCGCGATGAGACAAAATGAAATAATAGCACCTGCCTCATACGGTGAATGAGTAACAGTCGGGTTGGTGCACAATTGCAGGTGCTCTGAGTAGCCATTAAAATACAAAGTAGACCAGTTGTTATTGGGACTGGTAAAATAAGTATTTCCTAGTGTCTGCGCGTGCCCAGAATTCAGCCCTTACTCTCTGAAGAGTTTTGAAGGCAAGGTGGCACAGAACTGCTAATAAGTAGTGACGTATTTTCAGGCATTTTTTTGGACGCATACAACTGCTGGGGAAGGTATCCTGTAGAGGGATGAGGGCAAGTGGGGCAAGCGCTTTGTTTAAGCACTTGAAGCTGCTGTGTGTTCGCTTCTCCAAGCGTGCACTTTTGAAATCATGGTAGTAGTCTGTTCTGGATGCCAAAGCTCAGTCCCTTCCTTTTTCCTATAATGAAATCATATTTTGTGCAATGAACTCGAAGTTGCTCGTATCCTTTAACATATCTGGGCTTTAATACTTCAGACTGCCTCGCTCAGCAATCAAAAAACATTTTTTCCAGGTGCCGGGCGCGTTTTCTGAGCTTGACTTTCAGTTGTCATGTAATAGGTTTAGTGCATGATGACAAAAGAATTTTTTGAAATTCCAGCTAAAATGTTTTCTAGCACTGTGATGCTAACGTCTCCTTATTCCTGACGGTACAAGGAAATCGAACGGCAAAGTAGGCAGTGCAAAGGCAGCAGAGCAGCTGTTTACTGCATACGGTCCTACTGGTTTTCAACTTTCTCCACATCTGCAAGTGCATATTTTGGAGGGTCTTATTTTTGACTGTGTAAATGGCAAAGTAAATGGCACTGTTAGTATGAGAATGATTGCTGCAGTCGCATACTCTACATGTTTATAGTGTGTGGATAACGTGTGTGTAGTGCATTCTGTGTATGAAGGGAGCCAGTAAGAGAATATTAGCTGTGATGAAGTCATGAACCCAGGCGCCCGCTATAGGCATCTGCAAACACTGGTTACCCTGGCAACAAGTGGAAAGAGGTTGGAGAGGAAAGCTGGAGTAGGTTGTTGCATTGAATTGTTTTCAGCTTGTTTCTTCCCCACTAAGGCAGGGAGATGTTGAAAGGTATGACGTGCCTCTTTCTGTGCGTATACTGTGTTATATATATTGCGAGAGTTATTGGGAAGGGGAAGGCTGAAAAAGATTCTTAGCGTTCAGCTCAGTAGCACGTGAACTTTTCAATAGAGATATGAATATGCATTGCGAATCTGTGTTTTTTCTGTATGCTTAATACTTGTATGTTGTGCTATAAGGTGAGAGAGCTAAATGGAGCTCCGCAGTACTGTACCTGTCCCGTCTTCAGCCTGGAGACAACTGGCTGTTGCGTCTTAAGTCTTCAGAAACTGATTTTTATTTTAAGCTGGATTTGTAGAGCTAACGTTTGAAAACCTGCATTAGCAAAAGATTTGCTAACTGAGATTAAATCTGAGCTTCTGAACACCTTCAGAAGGTACAGTACTTATTTGCTTGTGCTCTTGCACTTGGGCAGAATATTGTGGCTCATGAGTTAGTGGAGTCTTTAGCTCCCTGGGGAAAGTTTTTATTAGAAAATCTGGGACATTATGTTCAGGGCTATAACAGTGTCTTCCACAGGACAAATATTAAGATACTCTCTTCAGAAATCTGTTTTAGATAATAAGAAATCCAAATGTGTGTTTCTTCTTGATTATCCTTCTGTCTTTTGCCGTTTTTGTCTATAAGGAAAAAAGATTTAATAGATATCAGTGCACTGAGTTAAATTATCGTTGGTACAAGTTATGAGATATATGCGCCTGAAACAACCAATTCTTGTTATTTTCAAAGACTAAAAAAAAATAAATTTGGTCATTGACTTAATTTTTAACTTGAAAATAATGCCACTCTCAAGTGACCAAAAACAAAAAACCAAAAAACGAAATTGCACAGTCATAAAAGAGTAAAGTGGATGACCCACTCAGGGAGTAGAATTCAATCGCTGTGTATTTAACTCCTCTGACAGCAAGGCATTGATTAGCAGACAGTGATGCTTGATTCTCATGTACTGAAAGGTGCACCCTAACGTAATATTCACAAGTGTTGTTCCCAAAAGTGTAGGAATGGGAATGCACGTTTAGTTTGCCAAATTTATGCCCTTTCATTTGCATTCACTTTTACGTGGAAACCAGCTGACACATAATTTTATTCAAACTAAATCTGATTTTATTACCCTATAAAACTAGATCTACAGAATTAATAAAAACAAACAGAGCGTGTTATGGAAGATAGGGATGCGTAATGAGCATGCTGACTGCTGATAAAAGGATGTTGACGGATATCAGTCTTGTAGCATTTGACCAGAAATCGAGACCAAAGCCCACAAGAGCTTTTGTCAGTGTGAGGATGCATGGCATAATTCAGAAGTAAGGCTTGGCAAATCAGCTTAAGCGATGATATATCTTATAATTAAGTAAAGGTAATAATCAGCATAAGAGGTAGAGCTTTGTCCTTAGCCAATAATACAGTTCTGAGCTCTTATTCTGTACGGTGAACTGTTAAGTCCCTAATACAATTTAGCAGTTGGCTGCATTCAAACTGTTCTCAGCTAACAGTATAGTTAAGCCTATAGGATTTACCATTCATTTATATTTAGTATTATATCTGCTGAAATTAATTAAGTGTTTTGTATTCTTAGTTAGTACGTGAATAAGTTAGTACTTACCAACATGTTTCAGACTTGCAGTCTGAAGTGTTGAAGCAAGTTAGATAGGAGTTGACTTCTTAGCTGTCTGGCAAAGTAATCTTCTGAAATCATCATTTTCATCTTGCTTTTTTCAGATGTTGAGGTAATGCTTCTTTCTATCTTTTTGATCCAAAAAGTGTGTCTTGTGGCCGTTTCGTTATGGAAGTCTTCTGGGTTCAGACTGCAGCTTGTCGTCAGAAGCTAGCAACGTAACAGGGTGTGTGCGTATGGGCTTCGGGCCACGTTAGGGCTGAGTCTTCTTTGCACCCAGTCTCTTGTACTCTCTCAGCATGTGGTTACATCATCTGTGTATCTGGTGTAAAAGGCAGGCAAGTACTCAAAATGCTTCTCCAGCTCTCTGCTGTTTCTTAAACAGGGAAACAGTGAATTATCATTTTCCTAGTCAAGGTTCCTGTAGTTTAAGTATTTCCTTCTGTGTTGTTTTTAAGTTGATTTGATCTATTTATACAACGCGTGTTGTATAAATTCGACAGTTACCATCCTATTTCCAATGCCAAATTTTGAAGTCCGTAGAGAAATGTGCAAGGGAGGGCTGAGGGTGAGAACTACGTTTTACTCTGTTGGAGCTTTCCATTTTGTGCTTGATACACGAATCAGTACAGAACAGAAGCTGCTGTGATTGTGTGTGACCTTTCCTTTTCTGGAACTATTGGAGAATTCTCTGCAAGGAATCTCATTTGTTCTCAGGCTTGTATTGGCTATCAGCTACCAGATTAGATAATGGGATTTTTTCTTTACCTGTGAAAATCACTGGCTGAAAGAACTTACATCCTGCTTTGGTCAACTTTTTTTGTACAAGTTATTCACGAACCCTAGAAAATCTAATTCATTAAAAAAGTTGCATCTTTGACTTTTGCCACGTTGTTAAACCATAATGTTGTTGTCTTAAGCATGTTCTGCAAGGGGGACTCTCGGACAGGAGATCATTGTCACTGGAAATTCCCAGTTCTTATCTACATTGATGAAGATGGAGAATTATTTTTCAGCACTTCAGGAGGGAAAATAAAAGTATTTTTCCAGTGAGAAAAGTTGAAAAATAATTTCTTTTTAAGAAGTTATGCGCTCAAAATCCTAAATTATTGTAGAGCAGGGACATATGAAGAATTCTAAAGCAAATTAGATGCACAGATCAGTGCATCAGCTGATCTGTGATAGTTGCCTGTGCACACCTTACTCTGTGTAAATATGAGGTAATTCAAGTCAGTCCTTTGTTTTTGAAGAATATCTTCGTTTTATCAGAGAATAAGAACTTGTTCACGAGTCCATAGCCTTGGAAGGCTAGCAGCTATTTCAGTCTGCCCTTCCCAGAAAGGATTGTCACTAGTAGCTCACAGTAGTTCAGTAAATAATTATTCTTCTTATGTACAATATGCAGCTGAATGTGTAAAGAAAACTGATTTGATATTGCATTCGTTGAAAAGCAAATGCAGATGATATATAATTAAGAGATTGGACATGCACTAGGATTCTGACTTGGAAACATTCCAAATTCTGGAGTGGCAGAAGGTAGGAATTTTAGACTAATTAATGTATTTATAGAGGTACATGGGGCATATCACTTAAAACTGAGCATTTATTATAACTTCATATTGGTTACATCAAACCAGATCTGGCCCTGTTACTGGATGTTCACAATAATTAATCTTACCTACCAGTAAGTTGCTCTTCAGTATAGTATGTACCTGTGGTTGCAGATCAGAGTGAGGTCCCTGAATCACAGCTGGCTCCTAATTAAGTGTGATGTTTTTTTTCTTGGCCTGGATGACAGTTATTTGAACGCTCAGATCTGCAGAGGTTAATGGTCAGTTGGGTGTATTTGTTTCTTGCAGTTGTGTGAGGATAACAATAAGTCATGCACCAGAATTCTTTGTTCAGCTTTTTTTTTTTTTTTTTTTTAGAGTTTGAACTGATGATGCCAAATACCAGAACAGTGTTTAAAAAAAAAAAAATCTACTTGGTTAGACAGCAAAAGGACTGAGGCTTAGGAAGGGGATCAGAATACCTCTTAATCTGTGAATTTTGTTTTGTTAATAAAGAGGAAGAAGAGCTTGAAGTGCCTTTGGAGGGGCTTGGATTTCAGCAGCAGGAGTCACGGCTTTGTCAGCAGATGAAAATGGCTACGGTTGCACCATCACCAGAGCCTGTGTGCTGGCAAGTGGAATCGGTGACCAGCACAAGCTCAGGACATGTGTCTACCCAAGGTAAGAGATTGTTATGCTTCTTAGAATTCTGAAAATCAGTGGTTAAATGAGTATCAATCTGTAGAGACTTGGGTAGCTTTGATATATATTCCTCAGCTTCTCTGCCTTCCTTTCAGTCAAGTATTCCAGAGTTTACTGGCATTCCCGGCAATGTCCCAGCTTCCTGGCGAAGTGCCTCGTAGTCCCTTAATGGTTATTCTTTTTGGTGTATGACTCATGCTAAATATCAAGGCAGCAAAGCCAAACAAAAAACTCCCCAGCACCTGGCTATCGTGCTATAGTCTGTGCTTCTTTTAAACAATATTGGAATATTTAGCAGAAACGATTTTTCGCAATACTTGGACTGAGTAAGTGAAGTTGACGTAAATACCCAGCCTCACAACAGTTAATGCTTTCTTTCCCTCCCAAGAAAAGTAGAGGTGGTGTTTTAACTGGAAAAATTTAAAACTTGGTATTTCACGAGGGCATACTCTAGGTATTCATGTTTGTGGTATCTCTTTTTCCTTTTTTGTGAGAAGCAGATTGTCCTAAGTCTGATTGCTGCAACGTTTCTGGCGCTCTAATCTGAAATAATTGGCTGCACTTGGAGGTGGGTCACAGACCTCGATAGAAATCCGTGCCTCATCTGGTGTGGCAACTCTTACGTTCTTGTAAACTGCTGAAAACATGCTATTCAATTTTACATCCTTTAGTAGTTAGTTCTGCCACTCTTTGGTTTTTCAGGATAGCATCGGGAAGCTGGCACTTTATTTTGCTGCGATTACGTAGCCCTGTCAGGCCCAGAAACCTTCAAGAGAGTAGGTAATTTTACTGGGACTTGACAAGACTGAATCTTAAAACAAATTTATATGAATATGCCTCTCGTTATTATCAGTCTGAGACTCTGGTGTTTTCATTCGTAAAACAGAAAAAAGAATAGTTCTGACTCTGCATGAAGCAGCAGCATTAATAAATCTCTGTTAACAGAGTCTCAGTTTTGAATGTAAAAGTATTGTCCTGTACTGATTATTGTTGCACGTATATATTGTTCTGTAATGTCATAGTGTCTAAGGAAGGGCCAGGTCCCTCTTTACCTGACGCACTGGAAGTGAAGAACAAAGAGATGAGCCTTGTCTGAGCGAGTTTGCATTGTAAAGACCACAAGCTGAGGCTCTTGGGGAGCATATGAAAATGATGTGACAGTGCTGAACAGTGTGGCAGAAAGTGGCATGAGCACACCAAGAATCTTGCTTCTCTTTTGGACATCACACCAAAAGAGGTTTCTATGGCAGTATTGGAAGAAAATAACGAGGTATTTTTGACAGGTGTTGCCATATATATTTCTTAACTTGTGAAGACAACTATGGAACTGTGGGGTTTCCTTTGGTGAAAAGCACAAAGGTCTTGCTTGAAAATATAACAAATGGATGGTGGAGCTTGACAACGTGGGTGGATAGGATCATCTCAACAATGGAAAAAGGAGACAATACTATGGTGGAGGAAGTTTTAAAAAGCCTCATAAAATGAAGCAGCCTTATTTGTTGCATTACATAGTGGCGAGCGTTACAGAATGCAAAGATAAGATGATTGGATCTGAAACAACAAGTGGATGTTTGCAGTAACCTTCTAATGACATGTAAATGGGCCAAGGCTATGCTGTCATTTGCCCTGCTAAGCACAGACAGGCTGGGTTTCTGCTGTCCAATAAGATTTTTAAAAATTATGACCAGTTTCCAGTTGTCACTGTAGAATCTTGAGGTGCTTTCTTCTTCTGTTTCTGAGCCTTAATTAAAACGAGGCTTGAAAAAAGGCCTTTTGAGCCAGCCATATGCTTAACAATCAACTGTTCCCTCTCCTTTGACATCTGAAATCATAGATAGCCTCCTAACATGTTTTTTTTTTTTCTTATTTATTTTCTCTTTAGCCTCCAGTTCCAAGCCTGAACTCAGCTCCAGCTCACAGACTTTGGGAAGTCAGCAGAGCAAGACAGATGGCACCCGTGTAAAAACTCGCATTCTGCCCAACATGCCAAAGCTTTTCATACCTTCATCTGTCACCAAATTTCCACCTGAGATCACTGTCACTCCACCCACTCCCACCCTCCTTTCTCCAAAGGGCAGCATTTCAGAAGAGACCAAGCAAAAATTAAAGGTAATAAAAGGGAAACACTAATTTTTTTTTTTTAGATGATTGTTTTTATCTTAATTCTCCCCTGAATAAAATTCCTATGTGAGAGGAGCAACCATTCCTGTCCCCAGTTTGTAACCAGGGGTTGCAGAAGTAATTGAAGGAGATGCTAGCTGTTATCAGCAGGAGTCAGTTTTTAAGGACTAGTGAAATTTTGGACATGAGTGAAATCACAGCTATCCCAGCCCCTTGTCTCGGAGGGAATTAGAAGGAATTACAAAAACGGGTGAGGGAGTTAGTGTAGCCCTTGCAATTCTTATGTTAGTGGAAGGTACTCAAATTTTAACTGTGGGGAAGCCTATTGGTAAATGCTATGTTGTTTCACATTAGGATGTCATAAATTTATAGAAATAAGAGGACGTAGGAATGTGAAGGACTAGCAGCCAGTTGGTTTTTATCCCTGTGATCATGGGTTTATCCTGTCTATTTAGCAATATATTCTCTCTCTCTCTTTTTGGGATCAGTCTGCTATTTTGTCTGCTCAGTCTGCAGCGAATGTAAAGAAGGAGAGCCTTTGTCAGCCAGCTTTGGAAATCTTAGAGACCTCAAGCCAGGAGTCCTCACTGGAAAGTGATACTGATGAAGATGATGACTACATGGACATATGAATGAATTCTGGCCATCATCAACACCAACCATGTAACCATTCTTCTTGTTGCCGGCATCTCTGGCAGGCGAAACATCTTCGCTGGCATTATTCTCCATTTAATCTACATCATTGTGTTCCTCACTTCCATTACCTTTGTTACCACCACTACTGCTTGTATTGCCTTCAAAATCTTCGCCATTCTCCCCATCATGGTGCTCGACAGAAAGAATGATTGTTTACCAGGCAGTTACTTCATTTGGACCACATTGTCACCTTTAACTTCAGCAAACACGAGAATGTTTTGAGCTGCAACTCGCATCTCTACTGTTCCTGCTTCAAACCAGAGCCTTGGGAGCCAGTCCAGCGGCTCTTTTCTATAGCATTTTTCTACCTTTTAGTTGTCTTTCATTTTCCCCACAGGTTAAATTTTCCTCCCAATAATTTTGCAGCCTAATCTCTGTCTAGCCATACCATGATTAGACCAACAACTCCATTTAAGGTGAATGGAGCAGGAGAAGTTTGCTGAACTAGTCGAATTTTCAGTGGCATCAGGGAAGTCTATGGCTTCAGTTTGGGGCGAGAAGAATGAGCTGAAAGTCTGTTGGCTCCACGGCACAGCTGGATGCCTTGTTAAGAGCTGACTAGGTGGACAGAAGGCAAAGAAGCAGGTTTTCCAGGCAGACAGAGGTTGGCCTCCTGTTTGTGCTCATTTCACTCATATGTATGAGGTCCAGCAAAAATTATCTACCTGAATGTTGGCTTAAAGAACTGATCTTTCCAGAATTGTCTTACAGTCCTTTCTCTTCTAATGCCTTGGACAAGCATTTTGAATTGGGGGCTAGATGATATTTTTATGGCGGTATTGAAAAAAAATTTAAGATTTCAGTACCATTTCAGTAACGTCTGTTTTTTACAGAATGACACGAAAAGGTGTTTTTTTAACTATCTGCAAAGGGACTGCTCACAGTTATTTATATGAGAAAATAATGGTAAAAAAAATCATTTTTTTTTTCTACTGAATGTTAACTTTGTAAAATAATAAATGCAAACCGTGCAAAAAAAATCCATGTCACGCTATATAGATATATATAGATATATATATACACACACAAACATGCGTACACACACACACACACACACACACACACACACACACAAACTTATATATATGATAAAAGAAAATGCATACAGCTTGCCATGTTGGATTTCTTTGTGTTACGGGGGAAGGTGGTTTTCTGTGAAATGCAGAGCTTTGTATAAACTTTTGGTTTTTGTTTTTGTTTTTTCTAATAAAGTCAAAATGTACTTACTGTTGTCTCTGTTGGTTGGAGAGGTCAAGATGCCATGGTTCTGGAGAACATACCACTCCTCCCTTCCTTTTATTTCCTGGGTAAGAGGGTTCTGGAGGAGGGGAAAAAAAACTTCCTTTCCTAAAGACCACCAGAACTCTTGGGATGGCTTTGGTCTTATGTGACCCAGAGCCTGGTCAGCCGGTGCTGCCAAGCATGCGTGCCCCCAGTTCAGTATCCCCATTGAGACCCGAATGGTCCCTGAATAAAAAGAAGCAGCATCAAACTTTGTCTTGCAAGTTCATTCTTGTACTCTGTGTTGTTCATTTTGAACAAAATGTAATTTCTGAGCAGGTGAACACACCCATTGTGGGCGTATTAGCAATTGTTCGTGTAACTTGTTTGCCTACTGCAAGTGATGGATGAGCAGCTTGCAAGTGGCATGTGGAGAAGATCAGGATGAGAGGTAAAAGCAAATGTATATTTTCAATAGTAAAATGTTTTCAATTGGTGTAAGTTATTATAAATACAGTGTGTAGCATATTCTATAGGCATTGCCTGGTAAGAAGCTCAGATAGCTCTGGAAAATAAAAGGAATGATCTGTATTTTTAGAAGATAGCACAGGAAAAACAAAGAGGAAATCGGCTTGTAATGAGAAATGGAACACACAAAGTGAACTGCAGGGCCAAACATTCTTGGAGGATATACTTTTAATTAGTGCTCTTTCTCTTAAGTAGAGTAGACTATATAGGCTTTTTGGCTAATATATATTCTGAAATGTATGGCTGACTTTAAGATCAATTATGAATTCTTGGGCCCACAATCTAGCATAGGGCTGATGTACGCGGACTCAGCATTTGACTTGATTTTTTGGGGACCATTTTTAGTGTAGTCTTCAGGCAAAAACATTTCAAATCTTCAGTAAAGTTAATCTAGGTCTCTCATTTTTCAAAAAAAGACTATTTCTTAATTGAATTTGGTCATTGAAAATGGTTGTTTTCCTTTATTCTTCTTGAGGTTTCCTATAAACTAGGTGTTTTGAATTATTTTTTCCTCCAGTGCTTGCTAAAATGTCTGATCTGGATCTTTCTTTGGCTCCCAGCCTTCCTTTTTTGAGAAGGCTTTGTTTTGTTTTTTATTGCTGAAGGAAAATTACCACAATGATTAAAACTGTTCCTATGAGCAAAGTGAGCTGAACATTGTTGTTCTGCTCTAAACTCATTTAAATCTTCAAACTACAAAACTGTGTAACTTGTTTTATCTGATTTTCAAAAGTCTTAACTGTTTTTCTTACTTTTTATCTGTGATCTTTCATTCCTATTATGCTCTCAGGTGGCTCAAGGACTTTTTTCCTCAAGGTCAAAAGGGTACTGAGACCGATGGGGTTACGTGGGCCGCCGCCTTCGAATCCTGCACTTCTGCTAACGGCCAAATACTGCGCTGCTCAACTGTGGACCATCTTCCATAATGGGTGTTACTGCTGATTTATGCCAAAGGACCCATTTTTCTTCTATATGTATGAAATCCTCTCTCTGTAAGTACAGTTTATGTAGTAGTTCAATTCAGGGAACCGTGTCCTGGGGAGAGGATGCCAAGATCTCTGGCTACGTTTTTGTGTGCTGTTTGTCTGAAGCACCATCCCTAAAGGTTCTTGAAGCGGGAACTTCAAATCCTGTGCAAACAGAAGTATTCACTTAATAGGGTGTCTTCTGAAGCCTGATGATAAAATTTGATGGAATTTTCAAGAAAAAAGTCTTTTGGTAAAACTGAATTAGCTATGATTTTACTTGAAGCGATGTCTTTGAGTTTATCTTAATCATAGTCATAATAGCTTGATCTCAGTATAGGCAAGGTCAAAATGATCAACTCCCCTGTTTCATAGTTGCATATCAAATATAAATAAAGTATTTGGTCTTTAGGGTTTGCTGGGTCACCGTTGCTTCTGAAATCTTTACGTTCCCAGATTTCTTTGTAATATTATGCCAGACAAATAAATGGCAGCTACTGAAGTATACTGCTGCTCTGTATATATTATTTTGTTGGGTTTCTTTTCCCTGTGAAGCTATAGAGAGAGAAGTATCTGGTGCCTAAAGTGAATTTGCATGTACAGACAAAAATGTATTAAAACATAGTATTATATACTATCCTTACTGCTCTAACATCGGAAGAAAAAAAAAGAAGAGCTTTAAACATGAAACCTTGTTTGCCAAATAAAAGATCCAACTCAAATGCCGCTCAATCCAACTCAGATTGCCAAATAAAAGATCCAACTCAAATGTCATTTTTCTACAGAATAATCAGAGCTAGAAAACCCAGCAGAAGATTTGAATTTATTGTTTCTATGTAGTTAGAAGCTATTTTGGATATAAACAGATGAGCACAGCAAAGGCAGTTTTCTTGTTAACCTCTTTCTGCATCTCTCCCTTGTACCTTCTGTTGTGTTTGCAATGATTTTGTGTGTCCCCCAATGAAGTGACCAGCTTTTCTCAGGCCAGTCCAGAATTTAAAACTTCGGTTCACCCTGAAGCCCAAGTAGGGGCCGGGAAGGTGTCTATTTCTCCTTTCCTTTTTTGCCCCTTTCGGCCAGTAATTGATTTAAAAAGCAAATCATTTTTGGCTACCTTAATCACTATTCTTAAGGTAGATAGTACTGGGATTTAATTGTGTTGAGTGCAGTTTCTTTTCCTGGCACAAGGATTCTACAATCTCTGTGTAATTGAGGCCATCGAGAGTTCAGATCTCTGAGGCAAGGGCTAGGGTTTTACTAAGAATTTTTCTGTTAGGCACAGCTGTTATTAGTGGCTTCTTCCTGCTGTCTCAGAAATGCTGTTCCTCCAAAACTAATAACTTTTTATTCCACATTACATGTCTTCCTTAATTTTATCAAGTACTAGAGTTGGTCAGTTGTTGTTTCTTGTTTTTTTATGTTTTAATTAGAACAAGATTGCCTCATGAATAATGAAATTAATGTCTCTTCCAGCCAAAATAAACACCATATGGTCAGGGAGAAAAGGGACCAGGAGAAGATGAGTAAAGCATGGCAGCAGAAGCCGATTAGGAGACAAAATAGACTGAATGGAAACGGAGGAGCCAGGTGAGAATAGACTTAAGTTTTGTAAATCACAAAGCTGTAACTCACTATGGTGAGATCATACAGTTAAATTCAACGTTCTGGTTTTGGCAGTGGTGATGATATTTCTAGGAAGCTGAAAAATTCATGATGGACATAGCTGGTGTGTACAGTGTTACAGGGCCTAACTCGTTTCTGTTCTTGGAGGTGCTTGCCGTATTTTTTTTAAGGAACAACGTGGTAAAGTAAATGAGTTGGGATGTTTAGAAGAAAAAGTAGCAAGCATAAGTCTTATGAGCTGTTACTTAGAGCTGGGATATAGGAGCTTTGTTCTTGCAGCTGAAGGTGATGGCAAGAAGTTCAGGGTAGATGTTGAGTGCTAATTGCCATGTTTCCCTTTCTTTTGACTGATTACTAGGAATCCACTAGCGCTAAGCTTCAAGGTATGCATCAGTATTTTAGGAGTAATCTGGGGGTATATTCTCTAGAAAATACTGAAGTTATGTTTTTTCAGCTCCTGCTTGCTTTTCCTGTTCCTTTATATTGTTCTGTCATTATCCATGCTGCTTTTACTTACTCGGCTCTGTAACTCTTCCACCAACCTATTTTCTGCAGCTGAGGTTCCCACTCTGCCTTCATCTGGCCGTTTCATTGGTATACTTAGATACTGTCCCAACCTAGGTGGTGTTCCAGTTTAGGCAAGAGAGTTTTAAAAGCTTAATGAGCAGCTTCTTAGGAAACCTAATAGGCTTCATTTTCTCAAGTCTTACAAAAAAAGCAGGCAGATAACTTAAATCTGTTAGGACTAAAACCAGAAGTTTTAAGCCTGATGACATTAAGGATGTTGGTAACAAGTGGATCGTGGTGGTCATCTTAGTGCAGTTTTTATCCCTTCAAAATGTCCTGCACTGCATTCACATATGCACAAGCCTCCAGCACACAGTAAGCTGATGTTCATCACTAAGTCCTCGTGCACCTGGGCAGTTGTGCATGAGCGCCAGAACCACGACCCAGCACACCACCTTTTGTCCAGGCTTTGCATGCAGACCTGAGGCTGTTCTAAAGACATGTAACTCTTAGCACTGGCATTTAGATATCCCATTTCGTTTTTCTCTTGCGCAAACTTGTACACAGCCTTTTTACCTTAATCCCTTTTCTTCTGCTGTCCTGTAGTAACATTGTGACCAGCACTGTCAGAGTCTGGTCAGCCGTGTTTTCTGAAATCATTGCTATCCGCGACAGAAATAGCATCCAAAGGGAAGGGAAGTTCCTCCAAGTGAAGCAGCAACTTGACTGGCGCAGCGCAACCAGCCCCACTTAAAGCTGTGACAGTAATGCACTTGTGCGTGGTGGTTTCAGTACAAGCACCCAAAATTAGACCTGTGTATTGCCATTTTTGAGCATCTAGCTTTGCTTTGGCATAATTTTTTTTATCCTATTTGATTTCTCTACCCCCTATTCGGATGGTAGAGTATGCAGGTTTCAAGGTTACTGATCGGTTTGCAGCAGTGAACCATGACAGTATATCTTGAGGTACAGCTGTTGGGTGTCTCAATGATATTAAATATGCTACTGATGTGAGCTAGATCTTTTGTGTCATACATTGAAAATGGATCCCTATGATGGCTACTTATTCCTCAAAATAAATGTTTTGTTTCATTTTTATATGCATCCCTTTTTCTTTACGGGAGGTTTAGTAAAAC